CGAGCTGAGCGGGAGCGGAGCGAGCGGCCCGGCTCCGGGAGGGAACAAAAGGGGCCGGCGCTGGGGCGGGCGCGGGAGGGCGGGGCCTGGCGCGGCGGGGGTCAGGCGCGCGTTCACGTGGCCTCGCGTTTCTCCGGCCGCCGCGCCGCGCCGCAAGCGGGCGGGCGGGCGGAAAACGCTGCCGTATACCTTGTCCTCCGCCGGAGGCAGTCAGTTGTGGGGCGTCTGGGGTGCGCCCACACCCGCCTCGGCGACGGTCACCTATCGACGCCGAAATCGTGTTGATGCTCGGCTCACGAGGCTGTCTCAGACCATTGGGAGAGATGCAAACTCTAGATGCTGGGAGAGATGGGGAGGAGCTTCCCCGGAACGCTTCACGGAGGAGGTGACATTTGAACTGAACAGGAACTGATGAGGAGGGGATGATGTAGCCGGTAGAGCCGAGCTGAGAACTCCAGGTCTTACTGAGCTGTCCTGAGGCTAAGGCAGGTGGGGGTGGGGGGGTGGGGGGGGGGAAGGCACGGGGGTCTTGGTGATACACTCCCAACTTGTTATTGGAAAAAGTGATACTCAAGACCCAGACGAATATTACACCCTCCTCCCCGGAGTAAGACCCGTCCCGTCTCCTGGGGTATCAGAGGAGTTGACACAGCTGCCAGCACCCCCCCACACACCCCGGGGGGGGGGGGGGGGCAGAGGTTAAGTGGCAGCCCAGGAGCAAGAAATATCGGACTCCCGACACCTATAGGTGCTTGCACTGTGACTGGCCTCTGTGCCTCTGTGCCACCTTCCCCGGCCTTGATAAGCTACCTTCGGAGCCATTGCCCTTAGTTCTACCTGTAATGCCCTTGTCCCCTTCTCTATTTGACAAATTATCCTTCCCTTTCAAAGCCCAGCTCAAATTCACCTCCATTTCCCTTGAGCATGAGAAGGTGGGTGTGTGGAGGAAGGTTGTGGTCCACACAGTGACACTGACTCCAAGGAGGACAGGCAGGCACCAGACAGTCTTCTTCATGTCCCCTGAGGCACCCAGTCCTGTGCCTGGCCGAGGGTAGACAATGACACCTGAATGAATGAATTGGTTCAGTTACCACCACCATCCCTCCACTGCTCTGGTATCCATCATCTTGGAGAAATGAGTTAACCTCTTAAGGGTTTTTTTTTTTTTTTTTGTCTATTTGTTTATTTTGAGAAAGAGAGAGCACACATGTGCAAGCAGGGGAGAGACAGAGAGAGAGAGGGAGAGAGAGACTCCCAAGCAGGCTCCATGTTGTCAGCGCAGAGCCCAGTGTGGGACTTGAACTCGCAAATCACGAGATCATGACCTGAGCCGAAATCAAGAGTTGGATGCTTAACCCACTGAGCCACCAGGCGCCCCAAGGCCAGAGGTTTCCCAAGCTTTTAAGGGCACGCAGGCCTTCGAAACTTTGAACCCTGGGGAGGATCTCCCAGAAATGTACAATACACGCATGCACATACACGTGCGCGCGCACACACACACACACACACACACACACACACACACATTCATGCACACACATATACACACAGAGTTTTGCAGACAGGTTCAGGCAATTCACAGACCCCCTTGGATCCCCACCTGGTCTGTACACCCAGGTTCTAGGGTAGAGAGCTCAGAAAAGATGGGGGTGAGTGCATCAGGGGGGCGGGGGGCAGGGTGTAGTAAAGAGTATGATTTACCCAAATGAGTGGGTTTCTGGCCCAGATCAAATGGCACTTGTATTCTGGGGGCACTTCTCCCTTCTTTGACACATACAGCTTCTGGAACCAGGAAAATGGCCAAAGTTCCCAGGACATCAACCCACCAGAAATAGACCAAGAAGGTTCCCTGTTGGAAACTAAACCATTTAGTCCGACCCCTCCTTCCACAGGTGGATAAACTGAGGTCTAAAGAGAGGCAGGAGGGGCGCGCCTGGGTGGCTCAGCTGGTTGGGCGTCCGACTTCACCTCAGGTCATGATCTCGCAGTTTGTGGGTTCGAGCCCCGCGTCAGGCTCTGTGCTGACAGCTCAGAGCCTGGATCCTATTTCGGATTCTGTGTCTTCCTCTCTCTCTGCTCCTCCCCCACTCATGCTCTGTCTCTCTCTGCTCCTCCCCCAATAATAATAATAATAATAAAGAGAGGCAGGGATTTATCCAGGTCACAAGGTCCTGCTGTGATGCATTTGAGCTCCCCTGTGCCTGTCGGGGTTCATTCACCCCCTCTTGCCTTCCACCCACCCCTGACCCCCCCCCCCACCAGCCCCTCCCTCAGTTACAGCCCCCAGTGCTATTCAGACCAACAGTGCACACAGAGTACTAGCTTCCCCAGCCTCGGACTCCGAGGGTGGAGTTGCAAAGGGGCAACTCACCTGGGCCAGCACCACCTTTGTTCTAGATGAGAGAAGATACTTTCTCTCTCCTGGGAGCTTGGATTGGGGTTTGCTGCTTCCTGCAGCCGCGTGAATGCTGTAGATGTACAGGGTGGAGCTGGGCAAGATGCCCCGGGGCATCAGGCCTGGGGTGGGGCTGGTGTGGGGGTGAGGACCAGGGGAGGAGAGCCCTCCCAGCTGACCTCTCAGGCAGGGCTTTGTCTCCCCAGAAAGCGCTGATTTGGCCATTTTCTTGCTGACACTGGCCCTGACTGGCAGCCCACAGGACGGGGTGGGGGGCGGCGGGGTCGGTGGGGGGGGGGGGCTTTCATAGGAAGAGCACATTGGGAATAAGAGGGGGGCCAGGGCAGAGCCAAGAGAGGCCGGACTGCCCAGCAGGTTGCTGCCTCTCTGCTGCACTTTTTACTGTTTGAATTTTGAGGATCAACACCACATCGGTCGTGATGGAATATTTTACAGCCTCCGAATTGCTTATTCTACTAGGAATTTGTAACAACGGTCCTATATTTAGGTCAGTTGAAAAATGCATGTCACATACACCTGAAACTGACATAATCCTGTGAAGTTAATTATACTTCAATTTTTTTTTTTTTTAATCACATCATAAAACCCTGGGTGTGGTAGACTTTCAACCTTGTCACCTACAGAGGGAAAAACTGGTAACCCTGGTGGGCTTTGGAGGGGAGAGGGATCTCTGAGATATTTCTCTCCCCTTTTCTGTTATTTTTCTACAATCAACATGTGTTACTTAACTAACAAAAGAAATTTAAACCCCAGCCCGCTTCTGTTAAGATGATTGTTTGGATGTTGTGTTTCTGCTAAAAACACAAAAAAATGATTGTTTGGATGCTGTCTCGGCAGCCTCGGGCTGGGAGTGACATCACCATGGAGATATCAGCTGAGGCCATCCCTCTGAAGGCCACACCCTGTCTTGCAAACACGTGGACTTTCTTTGCCTTTCCTCCCAGAGAATCACAGCACCTCCCTCCGGGTTGATACGGCCCCTTAGTGTAAGGAGCCAGGCAGCTACTGGAGACTGGAGTGCTTCTCTCTGTTGGAGGTTTCCAAGTTCTGGGGGCTTTGTCCGGGCGGCCTCCCTGATTTCCTGAGGACAGACGGTAAACCAAGGCTGGCCGAGTGAACAAAAAGCTGGCATTGCTGAGTACTGATTATCTACTGAGTAGATTTCAAGCGAAGAACTGTGCTTGGGTTGCAGAAATAAAGGAAGAGGGACCCCTTGGAGGAGAACGAGCAAAGGGAGTTTCTCCAGAGCTATATAGTAAAGGAGTCCGCCCCATCACTCGTGGTTTTGCAAAGACTCCAGGCGGGCAGGGGGGCAGGAGAGCCTCAGAGTGGGCAAAAGGGAAGATGTCTGGATGGGAGGTTGTTAGCACAGGGAAGCTGCAGGCAGGATAACTTGAATCGGGATGTATGTCACCACTGTGACTGGTGAGGGGAACGTCGGTGAGGCTTTTTCTGGCTGGTCCTGAGCTGGCAGTGGAGGCAAAGATTCCGGAAGCCGGCAGTTACTGATGGAGTCCAGCCCATCTGGGGCCGATCACTATGGGGGTTAGTCATTTGTCTTCCCGGACCGCAGGGTGCAAATTGTGGGTCGCTTCATTTTCATATGTGGTCTGGCCGTTGTATTTAGAGAGGAGGAAAACGAGTCACAGAGAGGTTAAGGGACAGGCTCAAGGCCACACAGCTCCTGGGTGCAAGGTTGGCCAGGCCTCCGGGCTTCAGTGCTGGGCGTAGAGAGAGCAGAGAGAGGCCACCTTGAACTCTGATGTGAGCTCTGCCACCTTCCGGCCTTGTGACCCGCAGCAGGCAGCCTGGGAAACCGGTCCCTCAGAGCCACACTGAGAGGGACCTCTGCATGCAATGTGCCAGTTCCATGTGCACCTGCTGAGGGCCTACTGTGTGCTCTCTCTATTGCTTACTGTAGGTCGTGCATGGGTCTAAGCAACTGAGAGCCTGTAAACTCGTGTCGTCCTCAGGATGCCCCGGGAGCAAGGTCTGTTTCTGGCCCCGTTTACAGACGAGGGTCTGACACAGGTTCACAGGGCAGGTAGGGAGCGGCGCTGTGTGGAACCCAGGGCCCCCGGGGCCCAGACTTGATGTTTTAGCGCCCGCACTTCCTGCCCCTCGGACAAAGTAGAGACTGAAGGGACACCAGGGGCGCCTGATGAGGTGAGTTGCTTTTCCTTGGGTGACTCCCGAGTGGGCTTCTCCAATGCGGGGGTGGGGGGGGGGGGGGGCTTTGGGAATGGGGGAACAGGAGCGCACAGGCCACCCCTCGTGGGAGGACGACATCAGTACTCCCCAAGAGTCAGGGAAATGCCTGTCTCAGGGCTTTGCTGCTGGGTGGTTCCTGATGAGGCGGAGAAGAGGCCCCAGGTACCTCCGGCCTCCACTCCTCCTGGAGCTACTTGGGTCCCAAGCTGGGCCAGCCGCCTGGTCTCCTCTTGCTGAGGAAAGTTTCTAGAAGGTGCTGGCTGCAGGGCCCCTGGGCAGTTCCTTGGCTTCCAGCCTTCACAGCTGTTATTCCTCATTCCTCTCTCCTCCTCCTTGTCCCCAAGTGTGGACATCTGGGCCTCGCGTCACACCCTGGGGGCGTGTTTATTCTGTGTTTCTGCGAGCCTCTTGCCTGGGGAGACCGCCAGTGTCTTTCTCCCTGGGACACTGCCCACTGGCCTTTACTCCCCCCCCACCAGGGCTTGCCCACCCCCTCACAAGTGGCCCAGGTCCAAGGGGACGTCTCCTTTGGGTCCCTTTGAGTTCTTCGCAGAAGTCATACCGATCACCCATCACCCGCGCCAAAAATACAAAACCGGAGACCGGCAGGAATGTTACCCGTTTGTTACTTCACCACGAAAAGCCGCTGGGAAATGTGCTGTCACCATTTCCTGTAAGAAAGGGTGTTTGGGCACCAGGAAAAGGTGAGAGCATCCTTTTGGAATAAAGGACGGCCCTTTAAGTACCTCTAGCTTTCTGGAAAACTCTTGTTCTGTTCACTTTGCTGCTGATGGGGGAACACTTGGTCAAAGTTGACAGCCGTTCCCGGAACGTTTGGGACCGGTGTCCTGTGGAGGGTGCACACTCCAGCTTGGAGGGCCCAGGGCGGTGACTTTCCTGGTCCCACCCCAATCCTGGTGTTCTCAGACATCTTGCTTTCCTAATGGAATTGCACTGCCCGGTCTGGCTTTTCTTAGACCCGCTCGCACATCCTTCCACTTCCCCCCTGCCTTCCGGGGCCCCTCTGAGCCTTGGATGTCATTACGCGCCCCCCCAGCCCCCCTCCGCCACCATGTCTGCAAGCCAGATGTTTGGGGAGAAGCGAGGAGGTCATCTGTCCAAGCCCTGTTTTGCAGCAGCAGAGATAAAGTACCATTAGGCAAAGCACCATCAGGAAAGCTACTGGCTCTCTTCAAAATCGCAGTCCCTTTCTCTACAGCTTACCCTGTGGCCCCTTCATCCCACAGATGTGGTCCAGGTGTGTATAAAATACAAAAACTACAACTCTCATTCAAACTGCAGTTGGCCCAGCAACAAAACCCCTTTTACTGCTTTAAATCCTGTGGCCCCTTTTCCGCCTGGTGTGTGGCTACGAAATTGCTCCGCATACACAGGTGTATGTAGTATAAAGTGTTTTTTAACGTTTATGCATTTTAAAAAGAAAAAAAATTTTTTTACACTTTTTATCTATTTTTGAGAGACAGAGCACAAGTGGGGAGGGGCAGAGAGAGAAGGAGACACGGGATCCGAAGCAGGCTCCAGGCTCCAAGCCGTCAGCACAGAGCCCGACACGGGGCTCGAACCCACGAACCGTGAGATCATGACCTGAGCTGAAGTCGGCCGCTTAACCACCTGAGCCATCCAGGTGCCCCCAGGTATACAAGGTATAAAGTAATAGGAGCTCTGACGGAATTATGGGCAGGATGCTTTGGGCTGCATCTGATTCTCAAAGGCAGCTTCCTGGAGGAGGTGACAGCCTGGATGTGTCTCCCGGGATAAGTGGGTGGCAGGCAGCGGGGGCAGCCTCAGGGTGACGTTGGGAGGAATCTTGAGGCGCTCAGGAGGCAGGGACACAAGGAAACCAGGGCTCAGATGAGGGCCGAGGGGCGGCCGGCCTGGTCAGCGAGGGCCTCATAAGGGCAGGGCTGCGGAGGTGGACTTTTTTCTAAGGGCAACAGGGAGCCCTGAAGGGTTCTAAGCAGGGGAAGGACATGAATTTTAGGCCTGAAGCCTGGCTCCCTAGGCCTCCTAGGAGGAGGAACACGGCGGTCAAGGACAAGGGGCTGGGGCAGAGGCCCTGTGGACAGACAGGCAAGGTCACTGGCATGCTTGGCATCCCTGGCAGGGACTGGGCTGCGAAAAAGAACATCATCGAGGATGGGACCCCCCCCCACAACGCTCTGGGCTCCCAGCTCCTCTCAGCAAGAGGAAGCCCCCCAGCCCCTGATGCCTGTAGGTGGGGGAGGGTTTTGCTCCCCGCAGTTAGGGTGAAGGGTGGGCTCCAGCTGCCTAAGAAAGCTCCCAGGGGTCCGGGCAGTAATTAGCCCAGCCCGGCAGGCGGGGACAAGGACACCCTTGTTTTTCCAAGCCTGCTGCCCTGCCCTGACAATCCGCATTCTCTCAGCTCCTGAAGGGGTGTCGTGTTAGAATCCCACTCTCTGGGCACAGAGCTCCCTGACTCAGGAACGGAGGCTGGACCCAAAGAAAAGCGGTTCCCCAAACAGGGATGCTTCGGGGCGGGGGGGGGGGTAGGGTCCAGATCGGGTGTGGGGAGCACCCCGCTGGGCATCCATCCCTCTGGCGCTGTGGTAGCGATGCAGTGACATGGATGTAGTCACGATGTGACCCCGGACGAGGGCCTCATGGCCCAGCCTCAGTCTTCTTGTCTGCAAAATGGGAATGACTGGTGTCTGTCCTTTCATGTTGGTGGGATAGGAGGGGCAGAAGCAGAGAAGGTAGTCCGGAGCGGGTCAGCGCTGATC